GGGGGGGTGGGGGGGGGTGGAGAGGAGCTCTTGGAGGGACTGGAAGAGAGAATAAGGCATGCACTGCCCATATGTAGGGATCTCATGGCCCCTTCAGTCTCCCTGCTGCGCGGCTGCTCTCTTTTTCAACCAAGTGGTGCCAGAGAGCCTCACACTAATAGCCTGGCTCAAACACCAAGTGGGAACTGAAACTTCAAGTAAAACTATCATGTTGTCACCGTATGATGCAGTGATCCCCCAAGCAGCCTTCAGTTTTTACTAGTTTGCCCTATGTTTAAAAAGGATTATATAGCACATTTTGAGCAGGGAGATAATGATGTCTCAGGCACAAAAAGATAGGGACGCTCATATGGAAAATTGTATCGGATTCTAACAGTGAAGCCCTCAAAAATCATAGCCATACAGTAAAACACGGAAAAGCAAATAACTGCCCCCGTAATTCCAGAGGGAAGCGAAGGGGCAGTGCAGCCGGAGAGCCCCCACTCAGGTGGTGGCCAGTCACTGCCCCAGCCCCCGGCTCTTGCTGGCCAGCTCAGCCTCGCCCGCAGGGGCTGCGGTGGCAGGAGCTCACTGACGTGTCCCTCTCCCCCCCCCCCCCCCCCCCCCCCCCCCCAGCTCTCTGGCGGCTGCGAGCTGACGGTGGTCATCCACGACTTCACCGCCTGCAACAGCACGGAGCTGACCATCCGCCGTGGCCAGACCGTGGAAGTGTTGGAGCGGCCCCACGACAAGCCTGACTGGTGTCTGGTGCGGACCACCGACCGGTCCCCTGCCGCGGAAGGCCTGGTCCCCTGCGGCTCTCTGTGCATCGCCCACTCTAGAAGCAGCATGGAGATGGAGGGCATCTTCAACCACAAAGGTAGGGATCGTGAGGCACGGCTGGCTCGTGCCCAGCTTCTGCCCCTGCTTCTTTGCAGCCTGGTGAGGGGTATGGTCTCTCCTCGTCACTCGTGCTTCCCTCCATTATCACTGTGTCTCTGGGCTTTTCTAATCCATCAAGAGCTGGAGTGGACGTGAGGATTTCACCTGTTACTCAGACCAAAATGGTATCAGTTTGGAGAGAGAGAGAGAGAGAGGGCTCTTCTTCTGGGGCCAGTGTCGTTCATAAATTGAGAACACGGAAGGTGCGGGTCCTCTCCAGGTGATGAAAGCAGGTAGGGTAGGTGGGACCATATTCAGCGTCTCCTTAATCAGGTTTTCACAATGTGCTTTCTTTGTTTTGTTACCGTGAAATCCCAGAAAAGCAAGCATGCAGGCCCTGAGTGTAGCCAGGCCTCCTTTCTACCTTGTGAAGTATCTCCGAACATCCCAGACTGCCCAGGCTCGCCATGCAGAGTGGGAACGGAGCTGGGCTGTGAGGGAGAGGGTGCGGGTGGGCAGGGCCGTGGCTGTGCTGTGACTGTGGCAGGAGGGGCTTTTGAAAGATGCACTTTTCCCCTGAAATGACAGGGCATTTGAACCAAGCAGCGTTTGGCATTCCTTGGTGATTCCTCTATTTAAAGGTAACCATGGCAAGACTGTTTCTCCATGTGTGTCTGGATGGGTCAGTAATGGGCTCCTAGTGATAGTATGAGAGCATGTTTGTCCCAAATGTCCAGGTTTGGAGCTACTGAGCACTTCAGGTGTGGCCAGTCTGAACTGAGCTGTCCTGCAGGTACAAAATACATGCTCGATTTCAAGACCTCATATGAAAAAAAAAAAAAAAAAGTGTAATTACTTTATAGTTGTTATAGGTTGAAATGGTAATATATTTTATAGAGTGAGTTAAATAAAGTTTTATTATGGTTAATTTAATTTCCTATTTCCTTTTACTTTTTAAAATCGTAGCTACTAAAAATTTTTATACATTGCGTGTGCAGCTTGCGCTATGTTTCTTTTGGACAGTGCTGGTTTCATCTCAGTGAAAAGCTCACTTGAGACTTCAAGCCCTTTTGAGAAACACTGGTCATTTATAGCTTCTAGAAAAGTGTAGAATGTGTAGAGTTCATCTGTTTTGAACCATATTACGTCAGTCTTCATTTCTCTAAAGTACTGGCAAATGGCGGATTCTTGCAGATCTGGGGATATGCAATTTGTTTTCTCTTCCTGAGAGAACAACCCTATACTCTGCCATATTCTAGTTCTTTTTCTATTAATTTTGGAATATTCTGGTCACTCCCTCCATCTGTTATCTGTGCCCGCTTTGCATTTTTCATGACGTGTCTTGAGGACCATCTTCTGGCTGCAGAGGTACATTTCACTCATTGCGTTGAGCTCAATGAGACTGCACAGGACACAGCTACTGATTGATTAGCTCACCTTGTTAATTGTAGGCACAACCGTGTTCCAGATCCCTCAGGGCCTAACAGTGACCTGATTGTCACCCCAGTAAGAAACTAGAAGAATTGAGCTATCATTCCTTCAGGGATCCAAACAGAAGGAGAATTTTCAGATTTTGGCCAAAGGCCAAGGTGTCCGCTCTCGTTCCTGGCAAAGCTGCCCATGAGTTTAGACCAGCGCTGGACTCCCCCTCGTGTGGCACTCGAGTGCCAGTGGCGGGGGGAGGGGGGGGGGTCTATGCTGGGTTAGCCCGTTGCCACGGGGTTTCCAAAGTTACATCATATATTTAAGTCCCTGAGTTTGACTTGAAAATAAAGTACAACTTTTCCCCTTGAGTTGATTATACAGAGGAGCCCTGGTGAACTCCAGCTACAAATAAAACTCGTTCTGAAAGATTTCTTTTTATATGTGCCTTTCCCGCGGTGTGTTCTTTGCTTCCCAGTGTTCACAATTGCAGGCTAGCCAAGAAGAAAGAACTGTGTATTTATCGCACTTGACTTTGTCCTGAAGAGTTGTTACAGAGGTTGGGTTTTTGCTGGTTTTTAGAATCAAGTACCAGTTTGTTGGCTGGGGCTTTTGTCTCCCCTATTCTGTGACGCTCTAGCCCCTGAGAAGTTCCTCCTTGCCCCTCAGAAACCCTGTCACGCTCTTTGTTGAACAAGAAGATGTTGCTTCATTCAGTAAAACCCGTTGTGAACTAACAGCTCGTCCAGTAGATGGGAGCTCAGAAACCTTACCCATTTTTAACATTTTTCCTGCATTTGTATTTTTCCTGAAATGCAAGGACACTCTTAAGATTGCTCACTTGCTATGTTAGGACTGGGGCAACGGGCAAGGGATTAGATTCAGGGAAGGTAAATCTTCCTCTGGGCTCTGTGACAGGCCTCTGCCAGAGCATCCTGTCCCTGTTCAAGTCCAGGAAATCTGGCCATAGTGACCGAGGTCTCCACCTGGGAGAAGGGGCCTTCCTCAAATAGATGAGGATCTGGGAACGAAGTCCAAATAAAAGACACAGAGACTTGCGGGACAAGAAGCCACTGCCGCCTGGGGAAACGGGAGATCTTGATTTGCTTCCGCTCAGCCCACAACCCTTCTTGCTCTTACATGGGAAGGTGGGTGTGCCACCGTGATCGCTTGCACGTTGGGGTGTGCTCGGCCCTTCGCCCTTTTGCACACATACGTCTGCTACCCGACATCTACTGTTGGGCCCCGGGCTGGGCTTGAAGAATGCTGCAGTGAGGACTTACGTGTGGCCCCTGCTCTCTGAGAACTGGCTGCTTGTCACTGGCATGTCTCCTCCTGACAAGAAAGCAGGTTGTCTCGCCTTCCACGTTCTTCCAGACTCCTGAAAGTTAGGGAGCTGTCGTCAAGTGTCTGTCTCTAGTCGCCAGATAGTTTCTTAAGCACCTTCCATCATTCACTGCTCTGACCTTCCAGGCAGGAGGCACATTTACTAATTTCTGATTCCAAAATTATCTCAGCTTTACTGCTTCAGTAATTTATCTAATAACTCCCTAGTCCAAACAACTTAGATTTCCGAACATTTCAGATGTAAAAGTCATGCCTGTTAAGGTCAAATGTCTGTTTATTTGGTTGCGAATGATACTTTAAACGCTGCAGTGTGAATGTGAGTATAGACACCTCATCCAAGGAGGGCCCAGGACTCACTGTGAGCACTGCGTGTGCTCACTCAGCGGTTTTCAAGCACCGCGAGGACCGGAAGTGCTTTTATTTTCTGTAAACTTGAGCAATGTAGGGAGATATCAGAAATGTAACTTATCTTGGGGGCGTCTGGGTGGCTCAGTCAGTTGAGTGTCCGACTTCGGCTCAGGTCGTGATCTCATGATTCATGAGTTCGAGCCCCACATTGAGCTCACTGCTGTAAGCGCAGAGCCTGCTTCGGATCCTCTGTCTCCGTCTCTCTGCCCCTCCCCCACTTGTGCTCTCTCAAAAATAAATATAAAATATGTATGTGTATACACGCACACACACACACACATATAACTTAAGTGAACAAGAAACGTAATTGCTCAGTTTGTTTTCCAAGGAGATAGTTTTGCATCTGAAACGGTGCGAACGTTAGAGGGCGAACGTTCTTCGGTTGAGAAATGCTTTCCATTTTGTGGGGGAGTCCCACACAGGCAGGTTGCTGGCAGAGCGCACTTGGTAGACCAGTGGCATTGGTGACCGAGTGTCAATCCTGTTTTGCTCTGGTGGCCCAGTCTGCCTTCTTCACAGCGTCGGTGACACTGGCTCAGCAGATACCCCACACGCTGAGGCAGAATAAGGACTCAGCAACGCCTCGTGCTCATCCAGTCTGGTTTGTGTTGGCGGTTTACACCGTCACTGTTCCATCAGAACCTCTGGGCTCAGGGCCTGGACGCGGACACCGCCCCCAGCGAGTCTGATGTGGCGCCTGGCCTGGCGGGCACCGGCCTCCCACGCTCCCCTGGGTAACGCGTATGGATTTACTGCCGAAATAGGTGCCGTGTAATCATCTTTAATCTCTTCATAAATCCAAGGGATTTTCTTTCCTTCTGCCCAAACTTGTAAAACTTGTCACTTTTCTGCATTCATTTACTTAGTCTTGATCACAGAGAGTAAACAGGAATATCAGAAATGTTCGTTTTTTCTGATGAGGCCAGTTGAAAACATCCCCGTTTTTATGCTGCTGTAGACGGAGTGGTTCGGCTTTTCTGTTTCTTCACAACCGAAACGATCGTGCTTGAGAGTTTCGCTGTAGCTTCAGGGGGTAACCCAGCTGTCACCCAGCCATGCGGGGGGCACGTGACAGGTGCCAGAACCCAGAGCTGGTGGTGACGCACATTATTTTTCTACGTGGTACAATACACATAACGTGAAAGTTACCGTCGTAACCCTTTTGAAGTGTTCGCTTCAGGGGCATTGAGTTCATTCCCATTGCCGTGTCCCATTACTACAGCCCGTCCACGGCTCTCTCCATCCTCCCATTCCCCGGCCCCGGCCCTGGGCCGCCCGGTTCTGCTTCCTGTGTCTATGTCTACTGTCTATGACAGTATTTCTCCTTTTGTCACTGGCTTATTTCACCCTCAAGTTCACCCCTATTGTTGTGTATGTCAGAATGCCCCTCTGCTCTGAGGCTGAATAGTGTTGCATTGTGTGTGGAGACCACGTCTGTTTCTCACCCTACCCGCTGGTGGACCCTGGGGCTACTTCCAGCTTCCGGTCATCGTGAGTGATGCCGGTGACCAGGAGCGTTCAGATCTCTCAAGTCCTTGCTTTCAGTGCTTTGGGGAGTGTACCCAGAAGTGGAGCTACGGAGTCCTGTGATAATGTTTCAAGTTTCCTGAGCTTGCCACCACACGTGGTTACCTTGACCGGAGTCATGCGTTTCAGGCACACCGTCCCTTCCTCAGTGCCACCACTGACGCTGGCCCGCAGACCTCCCGGTGCCAGTGCTCACGCCTGTCTTACTGCAGCAAAACGCAGACCCCCTCATGCTGCACTCCTCAAGTTTCTTCAGTGACTTGCTGTCGCTCCCAGCCTCCTGCTGTGTCCTAC